GTACTGCTCTATTACAAGAAAATTCAATTCCCACGAAGTTGTATTGAAAAAACGAAGGACGGATATTTGTCGAGTTTTTTTGTAAAACAGCATTTTGCTAGAAAAAAATTGAAAAAGTGTTAAATGGAGATACGCGGCGTTTTCACTTTGAACGGAAGCTATCTAGTCAAACTCCATTGAACAAGGGAGAGGAAGCGCGTTGAGGACGGCGCAGAGATACAACTATTCGTACTCGATGGATGTCCGTGTTGCATATGCAAAAATTAAAGGCGCGATGGTGAGAGGCGTGAACGCGCAATGCTTCGCTCTATGTTGCTAGTGAGGTATCGCTCAGAGGCGTGACGTGCTTTGTGATATATCGACTGATCTACCATTTAAACCTACAGATATATCGATAAACAGGGTGTTTGCAACGAACACCTCAATCGATTCTTAATACTTATAGCTTCAAACGGGTAAATATCGGTATTCGATCACCCACGCTTTGCCACTGATCGCTATCATGCGGAGATTGATAAGGAAAATAAGAATTGGACCACATTTTGCAATTTGGAACTATAAATTCTGGCCCGGTTTACAAACAACGTATGTGCCATTAGTTTCCCTAGGCACATAAAGGTTTTTTCAGATGAGCCAGAATTTATAGTTCTAAATTGCAAAATGCAGTCCAATTGATATGTATCGATAAGGAGAAGGATCATTAGTATTTTCAATCCGCATATCACTGAGAGAAATAGACATGTGTCTATCAATACATAATTCATTTTAAAATAAGGTAAAGGAATTAATGAGTTGTGGAAATTTCGAACTTTATATTTTTAATAATAACGATATTCCTTGTTCATAAATTAAAGCTGTGTAACATTATGAGGAGTGAGTTTAGCAAAGGAAAACCAAGTTTTTTTTATATTTTTTTATTTATCTGCCGTGCTATGGGAAAACGCCTTATGAGCCTTCAGGCGTTGCCAAATTTCCTCTAACAAATCATTAAAATTCAAGAAAACTTGTGAACATTTTTCTTTCAATTTCTCGGGTAATTTTGTTTGTCAATTGATCTAAAAAGTCTGAAAATTTAAAGGAAAAATATCCACAATTTTCCTCAAAAATCAACATTTTAATTTGGCAACTCTCAAATGTTCATACGGCGTTCTTCCTTGGCAAGGTAGTCAGTAGTCTACCTCATGCGCTCTTTCTTTCTTCTTCCATAAAAAAAGTATTACTATTATTGCCTGACATGGCAACGCTGTCTTACGCCGCTTCCGCAGGAAAAATCAATTGGGAACCGAGTTGGAAAGGATATCCAACTGCGAATTGGAGTTTTATTAATAAAGGCCACGTTAGCGAGGATTTAGGACAGCTTTCGAGGACCTTTTTATTCGCGTTATCAGCATGTGTGAGTGAGCGTTACGAACCCAAAATATCGCTCTGCATGGTGACGCCAATGCTTTGTCACTCGAAACCGAGGTCCACCCTTCGGGGACAGACAACACAGGTTATGAGGTCCTGGTTATAGCTGGCTTGTCGGCCTCCTATGGTGTAGTGGTTGTAGCGCTTGCTCTATGATCGGGAGGTCCCGGGTTCGATTCCCGGCCAGGCGACCCGAGTTTGATGGTCTCAAGCAATGGTTGCCTGGGACTGGTTCAGTAGGGACGGAGGGGGGATGGGACTTAAAGCGTGGGATTAGCCCTTGNAAAAAAAAAAAAAAAAAAAAAAAAAAAAGAGGAACTTACATGGAACCAAGACAACTTTACGTAAACAATAATTAATTCTCATTTATATGACCATCCAGAATGGAAATGTTGCATGTGTGAGGAATTTGCGATTTGACTATTGCTTTTTACGTAAAAGTTCACGAGAAACAAAGCGTAATAGTGAAGTTATTGAGATTATTTTAAAGTTTTAAAACACTTCGATTACAGATTAGAGAAAATTATTTAATAAGGTTTGATTGGAACAACACCATTTTAATTTTTAAAATTTGAATTAGAACCAAGGTGTTGTGTGAATATTTATTTATTACTGAGGCACCTTTATCGGTGAATTTACCAGTGCACGTAGCCACAATCAGCTGATTCGAATGTTTACGATTTTATCAGGAGTAACGCTCTGAACTATTTGACTTTCTCATAATTTCAACTTTTTGCACGATGTCCACGATGTATATGTATATTGTTAAGCTTGTGACAACTAGTGTATAGTAACTGTGATATATTTATGTTCCGATGAATATGTACTCCAAAGATGGCGTAAGCCGAAAGGTGCCTTAGTAATAAATAAATATTCACACAACACCTTGGTTCTAATTCAAACTTTAAAAATTATTTAGTTTAATTTAAAACACTATATTTTCACTATGGACATATATTAGAAAATCAATGATTATTAAATAAAAACTTTATAAAACATAGCTTCTAACTATATAGAAGTAGAGAAAATTCACTAAGTTTTCGGACTAAGTAAAATAAAATTTAGTAGCGCAGCATTCTTGCAATTTTTAATTGGTCATTAAAGCGGCAACCCTGCATGTAAAACCCATCAAATGACCGTCGGGGTTAAGGGGGGATTTGCGGCTAGCCTCAGCTCCCCCTTCCTCCCGGTCCCCCCGGCTGGACCATTTGCGCGGTGGTGAGTGCTGATTTACGGCAATGGGCGGTGCGACTTCAGGTAATCCCATTCATTAAATTTTGACTGATGAGTGATTAATTCTCGGTTTATGAATTGGCTCATTGCGCACCCCTCCTATGCCGGTTCCCCTGGAGGAGAGGGGGGCGATATCATTGATGTCAAGCAATGATCTTTTGCGTTTTAGCCGAAGTATAATGAGCGGCGGTGTCAAGTCTTCGGAGAATGCCCGCACTTCGGTTCGCACGAACTTCAAATACATGGCATACAAACGTAACACAACTTTGTGTGAGGGATAGTTTAATACTTGTGCCTCGGGAAAGATGACGTTGATGGCATTGAATCGAAATTGTTTTGGTATTTTTTTTTCTTCTGTAAAAGAAACAATAATGCGAGGGGGTCCAAAAGAACCATGTTCACAGGTTCACCGGGGGGAGGGGGGGGCGGCTTCACATGTTTGTCGATCGATTCAAGGGTTTGTCAATTCATACACGGGTTTGTCGATCGATTAACGAGTTTTTCGATCGATTCACGAGTTTGTCAATCTATTTACGGGTTTTTCAATCCATTCACGAGTTTGTCGATCGACTCACGTTTTTTGTCGACCGACTCACAGGTTCGTCGATCGACTCATGTATTTGTCGAGTTAGGTTGACGATTTGGTTTTTTGATCGATTTATGTCGATCGAATCGACACCGGTTTTTTCATAAATTGTCATACAATTGTCATAATTTGTCGATCGAATCGGAGTCGATCGATTCTTGTCAATCGAATCACGATGTCGATCGAATCCATACCCTCCAAGTAAAGCCCATCTCTTGAGTCCGGGACGTCAGCGTCTTCCCGTAACTTGCATCACTTTTGAAACACCCTGTCGTGACGAAAAATGTTGCTTCCATGCAATAGCACTTCACTGGCACTGGCACCTTGATCTGCAGTCTGCAGCCTCATTGAACCCTCTAAAAGTCCCAGAACGCACCGCGAGTCGGACTGATTGATCACCGTTGCATCTCCGTTCCTCGAACAAGATGATCGACGGGGATTCCTACTTCGGGTTGTCAAATTTCATCGGAGAAAAAATACCGTAAGTGGAGATCTGCGGGCTGATTATTGAAATTGATAGACAAAGCAATAGACAAAGAAGACATAAGGAGTAAAAATTAATCCTATTGGTTGAAATGGGTGGTTCCAACCGACTGAGGGAGAATATGATGGACTAATTATCGGGTCTCTCGTGGGTTGCCGTCTGTTAGTCTATCACCTAGTCCTTTGTCCATTGCAACCACCCTCTTCCACCAATGGATCCCTCGATATCTCTTTGGTCTCCTTTGTCTATTGCATTGTCTATCAATTTCAATAATCATCCCGCTGCGAGTTGATTATTGACATTGATAGACAAAGCGATAGACATAAAAGACGTAGGAAACATGGAACGATCCTATTGGTTGAAACACATTGAAAAAAAATTACGAGTTATATAGACACACCGTCCATGGTGGGCTCGGAATCCGAAAGTTCCGGATACTGGATCTGTAAAGCTGATTTTGCTCCGGGTGCTACGCCCGGAACGCGCGGCGGTATGTCTATATAGCTCGTAAGTACAACTTCCGAGACCGGCGTTTTTTTTTTTTTTTTTTTTTTTTTTTTTTTAAGTGCGTGTGGTTTTTATAGACTAAGGGGGAAAATTATGGACTAACTACAGGGTCTCTCATGGTTTGTTGTTAGTTAGTCTATTACTTACTTCGTTCGTCCATTGCAACCACCGGCTTTCCTCAACAGGATCGCTTTATTTTCAGTTTGTCTTCTTTGTCTTTCGGTCCGCTGACACAAAAATCGATAACTATATGAAAGTTGAGAATGAGCCGCAATGAGTGTGCCCCAGTAACAGGGATCGCGATAAGTTGCGATTTGATCGGAAAATGTATCGCAAGTCTATTGACACCGATTTATTGCAACAGTTTCTCCATGTTATTTTTATCTTTAACGTTATTGCAACAGTATCGAACAAAAAATTGTGATAAATTGCGATTTCATCGCATACATTTGCAATGGATTTGCGATTTTATCTGCGGCGATCTATCGCAATATCATCGAACAAAAAGTTCAAAGTGCACGTCACATTGGATCTTGATCGCGTGGAAAGCTAGTTCGCCTTCATATTTTTGTGTATGCAACGTGGACATCCGTCAAGGCCGAATAGTTGCATCCATGAAGAAAACTTTTACTCCTTAGTCTCCTGCGTGGCATTTCGTTTGAATCGGCAGATTTTACTTACAATCTGGCAACTGCCGCGTAAGACAAATCGAAAATCTCTGAGATCTATGATGTAATAATTGATAATTGTCAGTGTTGAGGAGGAACTCTTTTAAAAGAGGTTCAAGTATACTTTGCGCCTAGTGCATCGTTCGGTCTGCAGACTGGCAAACCGTTTTTATTTCACGGTAACATCTGGAAGTTTCAGCAGTGAAGTATTCAGTTTCAGTGACGTTCAGTCAGAACTTCAGCCTAAACAGAATCAGTGCCAATTGTCGTGTTGACATTTTGCCTCCTAAGTTTTGAAGATTTCCAAAATAATTTTTTCGATTGAATTTACATTATTTCGCCTCGGCTACACTCTCACAAAAGCCAAACTTTAAAGTTTTGTGAACCCAAAAAACCTTAAAAATCGCCGCAAAAGGCATTCTCCTAACTTTAAAATTAGAAAAGATATATCGCGGATAAAAATATTAAAAATGGAGCGAGGTTTCGATTTTGACTTTGACTTAATTTATGTCGAATTCTAGGGACGTGCGTGAAAGTTTCTATAATTTTTGAAAGCACGATTTTAAGGTGTTTGTTTGAGTGTTATTGGTCTACATACTCAATCATTAAACTTGCAAAGAAGAAATATCAAAATGGAGGCGGGATTTGATTTTGATTTAGACTTAATTTTCATAGAGTTTTAGGGTAATTGGTAAAAGTTCTTATTATTGGCGGAAAGTGTAAACTTAAAGTGCTTGTTTGTGATTCACGTGCTAATGGTCGACCTTGCTATACTTGTTTAAGTGGTTTTATTTTGACACGATTTAAGTTGAATTTATCATTAAAAAAATAAATTAAATATAATAGAAATTTAGAAAAATTCTCTGTTAATCGTGAAAAAAATAATATATTTTTACGATAACGATCTTTAAAGAAATAAAAATGTGTGAATACTACGAGTATTTATTCATCGAGTTCTGAGTGTAACTGAAATTCAACACAATGTTACGTTGAGTGACTCTACCAAGGAACATGTGCGACGACTACGATCTATTTCGTTGAGTTCTAGTGAAATTCCTTTATTACAACTCCCTCGTGACACGCCCGTTGATCCTCGAAAATGTGTTCACAAAATGAAACTGTAAACTGCAAAACACTCTCAACAGTGCCTGACCTCGAGGTATTTCAAATATAATTGTGTCATTTTTGAAATGTTAAGAATATTGTATTTTGCTTCTTAATTTTATATATTTCCCGTCATTTATCTATTTTTACAAATAATAAACTCACGAGTTCAATGCAATCGGCGCATGATTGAGAAACTCAGGGAGAACACCATCCATTCCTTCAAAAAAGAAACTATTGATTAATTTTTCTCATTTTATTGATTTTTAGGAACACAAGGAAACCGGGTTGAACATTTCAGGCAATAATTTCATACATTTAAACATGTGTTCAAGTTCATGTACATATGATAGCAAAATTTCCGCAAAAAAGTAGTTTTTGGTACGGCCACACCAAATAAATTCAAGTATTTTATAAGTGCCACAGAAGATAAGCTGTCTTTAGTTAAGCGTTGAAACTAAATCTGAGAATAAAAATGGCGGATCTTCTGTAGCACTTTAAAAAGGTGTGCTCTTCAAATAACTCGTAAAATAAGTCAATGACTGTGGAAATTCAAGTGCTACTATCAAAGAGCCCTTTGCGGGTAATTTTTTTAAAAAAAAAAAAACGAATTGTGATATTTTTCAAGGATACTTCCGAGTTTAATGATTAAATCCTGCAATTACTTAGAAAATAAATTAATGGAGTCTCTAATTACGTGATTGGATCAAAAAATTATGATGGAGAATTCATCATGCTTATCAGGGGCCGACCGGCGCTTAAAAATTAGGGAATAACGGCCCTTGGTGCTTTTGGACCGGTTATTTTTAATTGTGTTTTCAGCCGAGTGAGCTAGAAGACAATTCAATCCGAAAGTGACCTAAATGGACCGCGTTCAGTAGAACCAAACCACATCAGCCATCGCCTAACTCAATTGGACAATTTAATTTTTTACATGGAAATGATGGTGCCGATTTATGTGCAAATTTCAGTGAATTTTCTGCATAATACAAAGATAATTCCTTAAAATTTTCAACGGAATCCGCAAAAAAGTTCTCTTGTAAACAAATAAATTGCACGGTTAAATTTGACAATAGGTGATCCTGGCTTCATTCATTTCTGCTAAACGCGGCCCAACTATCGATCGGATTCGGATTTTCCCCGATTCTCCCGCCTTCTTATCCGCCCATAATGTTTATTTGGTTTGCAATTTGAGAATACTGATTCAAATTGCTTATCTGTTACAGCAAACACGACAGAGGACTCCACGACAAATTCGCAACCTCCTCCTTGTCCTCAGGAAGTATGTGATACGGAGAAAGGAGATGGATCTCGGACGGGACCCCAGTTTCTGGCGGCGGGAATAGGTAAGATTTCAAGTTTTAAATTTCCTAAATTTTTGCTGCACGATCATTGGTTATCTATAAAAATAGGATTTTGAATTTATATTGTGGCTATAAAAAAAATTTTAACGGGCCCGGTTAAAGTAACGTGGCAGAGTCTTCAAAAGCAACGTCGGGTATTTTTCCCCGATTTTATTTAGATCATTTTATGAGTCAGAGACTGGATATATTAGACCTATGAACTTTTCCCAGCTTGTTTTACTGCAATTTTACCGAAGGTAAATGTTATTTTTAAAAAATAGAAAACTTTCCTTTCCTTGTGAATTTTACAGCTCTTTTCCGGGATACATTTGTAAAACTCACAAGCTGTTTTAAACACGTTTTTTATGGTCCTTTGCTGGACTTTTTTTCTTTGGCGAGATAATATTTGTTTGAAAAGTTTCTTGTTATGTGCCAATAAGTTACAATAATCAAAACATGATTTGATTATCTGTAAAACTAACCAATTCTTTCCTTTCCTTTTTTTAAACTTTTATTCGGAAAAAACTTCAGAGTATTAATTATTAACCAATTTGTTTCAGTGTCACTGACCGGGTTCCTGATGGGTGAGATGGTCTCGTGGTCATCTCCGGTTACCCCATTACTCATAAAATCCCACAGAATAACCAAAGATGAGGAGTCGTGGATTGTGTCAACCGTTAACTTTGGTGCCATCATCGGCTGCTTACTCGCCGGATACGTCAACAAATACGTCGGCAGAAAAACCGTTCTAGTGAGTAGTTCAAACATCCTCCACAGCAGCGCTGCTTACTTCAGCTTTTTTCAGCTTCAGCCATTTTTTATGCAGCTTTTATCCGCTGAACACGTTCTCTATCATACAGTGCTTTTGTAATTAGATCGAGTCGATCACTTGAATTTAGTCATTTTACAGACGAAAGTACGTACCGCATTACAAGGTTGCGAAATTGATTCGAACAATTCAATATTTGCTTGAATTTGACTTAGCAATTTATGTGATGAATTTCACTAATTTTTGCGTGTGATTAGATTGGTGACATTTTTAATCAAAAGTTTCCTGTTCAAACGTGCGACGGACTGCACAAGATAAAATGATTGAAAAGTTGAAAAAAATTAAAATTGGCCACTCGATCACTTCACCAGCTTATTAAAATTTAAAATAATCATGCCAGTTTCGAGAGCTTGGTCTCATCATCTGCGTAGTCAGTAATCACTGATGATGAGACCGAGGTCTCGAAATTGGGCCGACGATTTTAAATTTTAATCTGTGAGCAAGTGAGTGACCGATTTTAATTTGTTTTTACTTTCTAACTATTTCCTAGTAAAAATAAAAAGTTAAGAGTGAAAATTTTGTAACATTGAAATAGAGTTACGCACCTTTGCTTGAAAATCGAAAAATAGTCGCATGATAAATATTTATTTAATATTAACCCACATATAATATTACTAAGAATTTCAACAACTGTCTTTCAACATGGAATCATGATGATTATGATTAATTTCATACATTAAATAGAATTTGTTCGCAGAAGTCAATGGCTAATTATTATGAGTGAAAATACCCACGTCCGGTTAAAAATGAACTGACGAATGAGATACAAGAATCGAATAAATGAACTTCAGTTATCGCCTGTATTCTGCTTTTTTGCTTTGTGCAAAAGCGATTATGCCTTTATTTTGAACAGAGGCAGAATAACAGGTCGGCAATTTTATAATCAACGATAAACAAGTTTGACGCATTTCCGCAAAAAGGTGATTGTCCAGCAACTAAACGGCGCCAGAGTTTAATCAGCAAAACATTGCTAAAATAATAACGAAACTTACAGAGTTTTGTAAACAATGGAACGATTCCCGTTCAATATTTCGTTAACTTCCGGCCAAACTATCACAAGCGCCATGCGACGTCTCAAAATTTCCGCCGCCGTTTTATTTTTTTACAGATACATTTTTGATTGAATCTGTTTGAAAATTTCACTGAATTTCATCGGCAGCACTAGGAAAATTCAGTGAAATTTTCCGACAGCTTCGTTCAACAATTTCTCTGTAAAAAAATAACATGGTAGTGGACATTTTTAAACGTCACATGGCGCTTGTGATACTCTGGCCGGAAGGTGATAATTTATTGACTCGTTTTTGTTCAGAAACGCAATATTGTAAAATTCAGACTGGTTTATTATTGTTTTAAATCGGCGCATCGATAGTAAAATTAATGCGGACCAAAGTGACAAGACATCAGACTTACTTTTTTTTTTTTTTTTTTTTTTTTTTTTTTTTTTTTTTTTATCAATCGATTCTTTACCCCACCTTCAAATGGGAATGTAGCGATAATCGATCATTCACGCCCGGTACCTTCAGAAGATGAGCCTTCGTGACGTAATCAATATCAATCGGGTTCAAGTTCAAGCTATACAAACGTTGATGAAACGCAAACGCGACCTCAAAGGGTGGTCAGTTATCAGTCTCGGGTCAATTTACAGCGACACACAGTGGATCGAGTCAATCAGACAGACCGGACATGAAATTTTTTAATAAAACTGCAAATTGTGATGGTTCATTCGTCACATTAAGGAGGCTAATTTGGCCCTAACTTTGGTTTAAAATTGAAACAGCCTAGAATAATGTCGATTATGGTCAAAGCGACTCTTATTCATCTACCCTGTGATAACTTGTCCTCATTTGAGGTGTTTTTCAAAGGTTTTTACCTGATTTACCAGCGCAAATTAGTGAAGTTTTGCAGTTTTCTCGAATAATTGCTCATTTTCAGTCCTAAATTAGGTTGTTTATGTATGAGCACAAGTGACTACCATTTTCTCCTTTAAAGATATTGTAATGGGTGTACTAAAGATTAACATATTCGAATATGAAAGTGGTAGACGCTTGTGCTCATACATAAACAATCTAATTTAGGACCGAAACTGAGCAAATATTCGAGAAAACTGCAAAACTTCACTAATTTGCGCTGGTATATCAGGCAAAAACCTTTCAAAAATACCTCAAATAAGGACAAGTTCTCAGAGGGTAGATGATTAAGAGTCGATTTGACCATATATGACATTATTCTAGGCTGTTTCAATTTTCGACAAAGTTAGGGCCAAAATACCCTCCTTAATGGAACACATCCTTTAACATTAACTGTTCTCCTCGCTATTAAAGCAAAACTAATGGAACGTCTTTTGAAAACCTCAAAGTTTTGTATGGACGGAGTATAAGTATTTAAAATTCCTAAATTCTATTCCTCTCCTATTGACTCGATCCACTGTGCGACGCGATAATTTGTCGGGCGGACTAATTATGACAAAATTAAAAGTACACCGCCGGATCCGGAACTCGAATCGGTCGGCGGCTGATTGGCTCCTTTGATGGACCGTTGCACGCTTTCCTAGAAAATAGGGCTCAATTTGCCTGATCCAATGGACCGCTAATCCCTGACGTCAACCTTTTGATTCGCTTTTGTCCGTCCCGGGCTCCCGATCCGGCTAGACCGGATTAATCAACGTTTATTCTGCCGCTAGGATGACGTTTCCGCACAAAACATCCAGTTTTGACATTCCCGCACGGAAAACCTCGATTTACGCTTCCGCGCGCGTTTTCCTATGGATGTTTTTCCGCCTTGCGATTGAGGGTTACGAGTGCTGAAATTTGAGGGATTTACACTGGAAAAAAAACACATTGGATCTAGAGTCAATGCAGACTCTTAAAAACATCGACAAGAAAAAGTACTCTTGATTCAATTAGAATCTAGCTTAAATCAAGAACCAAGCCTCTTAATTTAAGCGGATTTCGTTTTGATTCAAGCAAAAATCAGATTGAATCAAAAGTTTTTTTTCTTGTCAATGTTTCCAAGAGTTTGGAATCTAGATCCAATGTGTTTTTTTTTCCAGTGTATCTTGAAATGGGAACCACTAAGTAAACGGAGTACGGAAATTCCTCCAATTTCTAAACTGAAGAAGTATCGGAAGAGTTTTGAAAGAATTATTTAGTTAGCCAAACAAAAGCAGAAGTGGAAAATGCCGACAAATGCTGTCACAAAACCCAAAGATATAGAATGAAGAACAACTTAATCAGCCAAAACACTTAATAAAATCACAACTTAATTTGGGGAAAGGCTGTAAAACACAGAATATAAATAAAAAACAAGCAGTAAGCTCCAACGCATTCGCGTCGGAAAGCGGCTCTGGCGACGGTAGAATAAATATCAATACGGTATGAATAAATTGCTCCATTTAAGAATCAAAACAATATCGAATTGCGATAAATTACACGGATAAGATAGGGCTATGTCCTGTCGTAAGCGGCGACATAGAGTCGATGTCATTTCAATAATCGCCCCGATGGCCACGATAGTTGTTAAACGTTTACGGTTTCCTTGGTAACCTTTGTTTGCTATCAGCTGATATCGAGTAATATGCCTAGGACGCTCCAACCACTGCATTCTTCCAAAAAACCGCGAAAACTTTAAAATTCAAAATTTCAAATTTTGAACGTAAAGTACAAGTTTTGAATTATTGACTGTATCACCATGATTCCAAAAATACACTACACAACATAGCATTGGCTAACAATAAAACAATATGCAATAAAATAAAGTCATGACAAGGTACATAGTCGAAAATGGCGCCGATTCCCATCAACCAACGCGCGGTCTCTCCAATGTAACATGGTCCATTGATACTCCCCAGCTGGGACCGTCCGGAATAGCAGCTCTAGTGCAAGCACCAGAGCCGCTAAAAAGCCAGAAACGTTTCGAAATTTTACAATTTCACTATCAAACGCTGCGTCATTAGTTTTTCGGTGCTTTGATTTTGCTGCACTGGGCCGAGTCTGTTTACCTTGCAATCAGTCTATGTCTCGGAATAATAGCGAATCAATGATTCGTTTTTATATTTTTTTCTCCGGTTGATAATTAAATTGTAACATTTCGAAACATTTTTGGGTTTTTGTATTCCTCCTCTGTTTTTTGCAGCCTTTCCCCAAAATTAAGCTGTTATTGTATGACGTCACAAAGCGATTAATTTTCCCACTTCGGAAATTTCGTTTTATACTTTCAACATCCGAAAATGTAAACATAATATCTCTTGTGGTGTTCGTAGGTCAGTGTTCAACACTAACTTTAAACACTAGTGTTCAACACTAATATTTTTCGTTAAAACTGCGTTCACCTGTTACGCGGACAATAATAACTCTAAATAGGTCCGTTGAGAATAAATATGGGTTCAAATAACTTCAAGTAGTAGCTATCGACTGGTTCAGTAGGTTTTAAACATATTTGATATTTCTTTAAAAACACCCACTGAACACAAGCCGTCAATTCTTGCATTTTCAAGCAGTTTCCGCGACGGGCATCCGGCATATTGTGTCTCTTAACATTTAGGATACAACTATTCGTACTTCATGGATGTGCGCGTTGCATAGCGACAATTTGAAGGCGTTTTGGTTCTTGCCGTATGACCCGTAACGACAGCAGTGAGCTCCATTTGCCGCTTCCGACTATTAAAGTGGCGTGCGGTGTGCCCACCTACGGCAGTTTCATAAATTACCAAAAATGATTGAATAATGTCATAAAACTCTTCAGAAAAACTTATTTTTTCCCTTACATCTTCACAGACGCAATATCTAAAAAGGATTCACTCACCGTAATTTTCAAAAGTTTTTCCAAGAGTCTCTTCAAAGCGCTTTTTAACGATTGCTTTTGGAAGAAATGCATTTCCCAGCCACAGACCAGAAACCGTAACCCCTTTTCCGATCTCGCCAGAC